GCCACGCCCCTGAACTCTGTGGCTGGGCTCTGTGGCCCGGCTCTGTGTCCGGGCCTTGTCCTCCTCTTGGCCGCGCCCCTGAACTCTGTGGCTGGGCTCTGTGGCCCGGCTCTGTGTCCGGGGAGATACGAAAAAAGACTATGGTGGGCCAGAGGACAACAGCAGGACAACAGGAGGACAAGACCCGGCCACAGGGCCCGGCCACAGACAGGGGCGCGGCCAAGACAAGGACAACAGGAGGACAAGGCCCGAACACAGCACCATAGTCTTTTTTCGTTTCCGGCCACGGCCACGGCCACTGGCCACGGCCACCGGCCACCGGCCACCGGCCGCCGGCCACGGTCACCGGCCACCGCCACCTGCCACGGCCACCGGCCACCGGCCACGGCCACCGTCCACTGGCCACCGGCCACGGCCACCGGCCACCGGCCACCAACACCACGCACCCGCCACCGGCTCGGCCATCCGCACCCAGCTATTACGGCCACGGCGCCGGCTACCACCACCGCAGCAACTATCCACCAGCCACGGCCACCGGCCACAGGCAGTGGCCACGTCTTGCCCACCGGCTTGGCCTTTCCACGCCGCCGCGCCGCCATTCTTTTGCCCCACGGTGTGTAGACCAGTACGATTTAAGAGCTACACCTACGGCTTGTTTCCAGCTTTCTTCCCCATCCACCACTTGCAACGCTGGGGCATTTATGGATCCACTGATAGGGCAGTTGCGCGCAGCAGAGGCGCACAGAGTCTTATGATGGGCGATGTGCCAGACAACGCTCTCCCTAGTTGAGTTGGGTTTCCCTGCCATAGATAGAGCAAGTCTTCCGCTTAGGTTTGCAAGCGCAAAGCTCTTAGAACGGCAGTTCACAAAGCTCTTAGAATAGCAGTTTTTGTGAACATCTCACTGGAGTCGATTGTGCTTGCGGTGGATGTGCGAGCAGCTTGGCACAGACGCAGCGGCTGCTGGCAAGCTGTCTCGCAGGGCGGAGGACGTGCTGCTGTCTTGAAGCGTGTCCACGACCACACGCCTTGTCATGGCTGTAGGCAGTCCGGTCTATTGTGCTTCCTGCGTGCTGCGTGCGTTTTCAATCACCTCCGGGCCTGAAAAACCACAACATGCACTACTCCCACCAAGGTTGTCCTAGCTCTCGTACCGGGTAATTCTTCACCTTTCCATAAGGGCCACGTGAACAAGAGTCTTTCACTGTCGGTCTTGACTGGTCGAACCGGCTGCAGGACTGGAGCGAGGTTGCTCGTCACCGTCGGGTGTGCGCAACAGCCGCCTTGGAAACTTGGATTGTTGCATTCAGACGCAGGCATTTGACCTTGGACTTGCAGATGACCCGGCAGGGTTGTTGAACATGTCAGGTTGCTCTAGGCTAGAATTTTGACATCAACTTTGAGTGACCGTCCCCCACATCCGTCCCATGCATCACTCTGTAGATCCACATGGCTCCAAGCGCCGTCTTGCTTGGCAGTTGCACATCGTTGAAGACACCACATCCCCAAAACCAGCAACGCGTCCCCACACACAGGACAGTCCCACTCAGTGTCCTGTAGTTCTTTCGGGCAGACGTCGCAGTCGTGAAGTGCATAGCTGCTTATAGCTGCAGCTGCCTCCTCCGCCGCCTGTCTCTGAACGAGGAGTGATGCTTGCTGCGGATGCTGTCTGTTTTAAGGGTCGCGAACGCTGCTTGCGCTTTGCTCCGACAATTTGCCTTTCTCACGCAGTAGCCTACCGGCAGTCTTATGGGATGTTGGCTTGGAGGGTTCCTAAAAGCACCCTGTCTATTCATGGGGAATCCTGCAGGAGGAATTGCGGCGACACTATGGCGAAAGGTCAAGAAGAGATCCCGGAGACAGAGATTGACGCACTGATGAGAAATGCTGTCCAAGTGGTGCAGGACAATTTTGACGCCTCCCACTTGCCATCCTCCATAAGGTCTTACTTGGAGCCCATCAGCGCAGCAACTTGCCAAGGTCTCTATGGAACTTGCATGATGTTTTGCGGCGCAATGCCTGCGCTCAGCAACAGGGCATCGATTCGTCTTTGGAGCCAAAAAGCTTCCCCTCTGGCGCTATTGGTTTTCCACATCGCTCCAGCCCAGCGGGGCAAATCGCGCCTGTTCCAAGCTACCGAGTTGCTTTTTGAAACGGCTGATGACTTTGTGGAGCAGCTAGCCAAAGACTATGCCCAGTCCTTGCGGCAACAAACTGAACAGCGTGGCGGTCCCAGTGATGTGGCTGCGCCAGATGCTGCAGCAAGCGTACCCGTACAAGTGAAGGGCATTTCTGTGCAGAGCTGTACGCCCACTGAGCTGTTCTTTAGGTGTTCTGCCGGTTTTCCACAAGTTCAGGCAGGATGCTTTCTTCTGGGTACTTCAGGACTCCAGACTACTAACATGTTTGATATCATATAAGCCCTTCACTGCAGCAACGTTTGTTGCGTTCGAGTTTTATCGCTCGCTCTGCCAGGTTGGTGTGAAGTCCTCCACCAGAGTTTGGTGGGGCCAAGCCTTCAACCTCGATGAGGCGTATGAGTTCTTCGAGAACATGTCCTTGATGTGCCCGCGAACCTCTGGCGATAGGACGGCTGGCATCAACCCGCACGCATCGAATCTGAACACTCATTGCTCAAGGCAAGACAAAGCGAGCCACTCGCACGTCTACCACTCACGGTGAAGGGATTCGACAGCAGCATGTATCTCTGAGCGTCTTGGGCAACGCGCATCCGCGCAAGGTAGTCCCCATGGAGCGAGGGCTCCTCGGGCACCACACAGCCGCTACCAAGGAGCGTTTTGTCATCGTAGTTGACACAGCAGTACCCCGACTTGAGGCCCTCCCAGCCAGCAGTGGTGTCGCAGAGGCTGACAGGTGGACTTGGCTGCCTCTAACAGCTCTTCAGGCTCGCGTCTTTGGGGGGAGGCAACTTTTTAGGCTTTCCGGCGACGTTGCCCGATGGAGTCGCTTCCCGTGTTCGCTATGTGCGTTTGCCAGCGGCTGAAGGCCTGGCATCGTTAGTGGGGGGTTGCTAATGATAGGACGGTGTGACCACTGTTCTTGATCTCTCACCCATCTCCCCTCTCACAGGACCGTCGCCTGGCCTGCGGACGGAGTTTCGCGTCTCAAGCCGGTGGAACTTGCCTGACCCTACTGGCCACATCAAGGCTGGAGCGCAACGCGTGTGTGAACACTTTCGTTCCCGCCCGCATACTGTCTTGGAGATTGAGCCAGAGGGGCACAAGCTTTTGCTCGGTCCCCCGTCGTGAAACGAGCTTGTTGCTTTCTATAGGGGTTCATGGCTATACAACACTGCCACATGTCCCATATTTGTTGCTGAGGAAACCAGGTTGCGCAAAGTGTCCGGGCGCAACAATCGGAGGGTGAGCTCGAAGCCCTCCATGCCAATGGGGCGGCCATTCATGGGCAGATGGCCGCGGCCGTGGCCTTGTTGGACATCGCTTCGGGCGGCGGTGAATTAATTTGACACTTCTGGACAGGCGGTCATCACGGCGACCCATGTTCAGGCACACATGTGCTCCGTGTTTTGTAATTTTACCGCGCGGCCAGCCGCCTTGTTGAGATCGCCTTGCAGGTACGCACGGTGCTGCGCTCACCTGTAGACGAAGACCTCAGCGAGGTCGATCATGAAGCTTCTATCGCCCGCCCGGTGCACAGTGCTCTCGCGTGGAAGCCTTCGGCTGCCCAGCCCCCACTCAGCTGCCGCCAAAGACGGAAGCTGCTTTGGGCGAAGACCATGTTCCTGTCCCTGGGGCACCACTGGAGGCTTGTAAAGTCGGGCAACGTGGTGAACATAGCTTACACCATGTTGCTGCTCACCTGTTTCAAATCGAACCCTATATCTATATATATATATATACACCATTTTTTGAAGACTCCGACTGACCACAGGCAGCTGAGCCATCAGAGCGGGATGATGTTGGTGTCCATGGAGGCAATGAATTCAAGTTGAACAAGCTGATTGACTTGTACCACATGGTGCAAACCACTGGCTCCGGCTCGAACAAGAAGAGGAAGAAGATCCGACCTACCATTGCCAAGGCCCACTGCTCATGCCATGCTGATGCCAAAAAGTCTCCCCCTGCGCACATATAATCGCCCATAGTATATAGATTCTTCTTCACAGACACGGGATGTGATGTGGACATGTGTCTTGGGCTCTAGATTTGCGGGTGAAATCCTGCGGCGCCCTGAGCGCAAAGATTGCACCGTGGTCCCCCGCACCTGGAGCGGCAACCGCAGCAACCAGATTTTGTATCACAATGAGAGCTTGAAGGCCTGCCGTGTGAGCACTCGCGAAATTTCTAAGAGGCGGGCGTTGTTCCAGGATACAGGAGTGCGCCCACCCCCAACAGGCCAGCAAGCGGGAGCGGCCGTCGCAATTGGACGGGAATTTGCAGAGAGGCCCAGCTCCAGCAACCCCACCACAGGGGAACATCGCATGAGCTCATGCGCCTCTAAACTGTCTGCTTTATTCTTTTCGATGGGACGGGGTTCTTGTCCCCGTTAGACACACAGATCCAGCACTGTGGCCACAGTGCTTTAGCGCCCTTTCTAACCCAGCTGGCAGTGTTAGTTCGTTGCCAGTTCCATGTTTGACCATGCGTCCAGACAGAAGAAACCGCGCCGTGCCACTCAGGAATATCAGTGACGTTGCAGCCCGAGCTGCTGCTCCTTTCTTCGAGCAGAGAGAGATGTCCAGATTGCCAGCGCCCCTTGATCCAAGCGCCTGCAAGAAGAAACCAGAGGCGAGCTGTCAAGTGCCATATTGTTGCGGAGCCTGTCGGCTTGTTCGCCTGGCATGTGTGCCACACCTGCAGCGCGTGCGCTTCTGGGAAGAAGTTTTGGTGTGGCTTTTTGGAGAAGAGCAGCAGTGGAGTGTGGAGCAAGGTAGTTGACCTACCTCGCCCTACCACTTTTTCTTTGTCAGCAAGAAGCTGGCAGTGGCCGGCTCCTGGCTTCGACGCTGGAGATACAGGATGTTCTTGCACCGTGCATCCTTTCAAGGAGAGGCAGTCCTTCTGCGCTTGTTGGACCCTGCTCTGCAGGTACGAGTGCGAGTTCAGCTGTCCAGCGCATGGGCGCGAGAGATTCTGTGGAGGCGGTCCGGCGAGGTCGAAGCAGAGGTGCGGGAGTGTCTTCAAGCTCAGCTCCTTTCTGCGCCCATCGAAAAGTTGATTGAAATGAGCTGGTCTTGTTACGAGCCATTGATGTTCCAGAGGCTGCCTGTGTACTTAACTTGATGTGCCCGCGTTGCTTTGGAACTTGCGCTGTATGCTTAAAGATTGTATAGGGTGTATACACTCCTGTTCCACGTGTTTAGTGTTGATGGATCACCGCAGGCTCTCACTTCCTTCTGTAGCAACCTGTCTCAGGCCATCACTTACTTCAGATTGCCACGCTTTGCCTGGCGCAGGCGTCTGGCCCAGGTCCACAAGTCCGGAGACCCTTTGCGCATTGTGGCGGTGGATGAGAATTGCCAGCTTCACAGAAGGACATGTGGGATGCCCTATGCTGAAGTTATTCCGTGCCCACTCATTGGCAAGCTCCTCCTACGCGACTGTAGCCGCCGACCATATGGAAAGGACACCCTGTGTCGCCAGCGTGCTACTCTCAGAGATGAAGCGCCGCGCCCAAGCCATGTTGAAATTGGCCGCCATCGGTTGAGGAGAGCTTTGCGCACTGAAGGTGATGTTCAATACCTCGAGATCCAAATGGAAGGACATGGCAATTGGCAGCCTGCGGCCACCGTACACGAAGAAACGCTGCGTCGTTATTTTGCAACCTTAGCAGATGGAAACATTCGGCGAAGGCGGGTGTCCTCCCTCGCACCCTCATGTTTGCCACGTGACATGTCCACACGCTCCCAACCGCGTGTGTTTTGACAGCCTCCACTGCAGGAGACAGCGGCGGGTGGAATCACGGGCTCAGAGGTGGACAGGCATGCGCCCAAGAAGACAAACCTACCTTGCTCCATGGTCTTCTACGCAGGCTCGAGCAGAGAGCGCTTGCCAAACTCACAAAGAGACGGAGAAGCATATCACCGCCGCGGCTCGCACGGCAGGGCACCTTCTCGCAGTGACGCATGGAGGACTGGCTTCTGACCAAACTATCGAAGTAGGGCGAACTATAGTTGTGCTACATAACCATTGAATTCATGCCTAGGTGTTGCACTGGTTTGTGCTCAAATCGAGGAATGATTATAGACGCAATGGAACTCATCACTGCCGAGTCGCTATCCCAACGCTATGCCTAGCACTAGCGTACCACAAATATTGCGCAACGCTTGGGGAGCATGACGTTTGTAGTTGATAGGTTCCACATGACTGGCCGCAAGGGTGAGTTTTGCCGGGACCATTGCCTACCCACCTCGGCCGACAATGAGCGCCTTCTGGACAACTTCCCCACAGATATTTGCGAGTCTGTCAACTCACAATTTAGTCCACTATAGGGCATACGGTGCATCACATGGGCAAGTTCTTTTCTCAGCTCTTTGTCCAAGAGTGCGCCGATGTGCGCAATCTGGCTCGTCTCCTCAGCCTGCATGACAAGTCGCACGCAGCTGCCAAGAAACGCAGATTGCATGCAGCCTGAGCAGCTTGGCTTTAGCAGACCGGTGGTCCCTAACCCCCCTGATCAGGCCCGTCGAGCATGTGTCACATTAATCCAGCGGGTGGGGCTCTGCGCTGGACATGGTTCCTGGGACGTGACGTGGTTATAGCTCTATCTCCGTGGCGTCAGTGTGTCTGGGTTTGGTGGCGACCCTCTCAACAAATACCTTCACGACACTGGATGGGTTTTACCCACTTTTGCTGACTGTGCCAACCGTTGTTCTCTTCATCCCTCATGCTGCAGGCAAGAGCCTTTGCCCTCCAGCACGCCACGCCTCAGCTCCGAGTTGGAAAAAGATTTCGGCGCTTATTGCTTCTATCACGGCCGCCAGTGACGCTGCCATAGTTTTGCCGCATAGATTCCATTGTCCAGCATTTCATCCGGTGTCAGAATTCAACAAGTTGTTGATGCCCACGTATCCCATTGGCCTCTGCCCACTATATAGCACAGCTCCGCGCGCGCGCCGCCGACCACCGGCCACGGCGCCACCGTCGACCGGCCACAGCCACCGGCCACAGGCCACGTACACCGCCCAACACCGGCCACGGCCACTGGCCACCGGCCACGGCCACCGTCCACCGGCCACGGCCACTGGCCACGGCCGGCCACCGGCCACCGGCCACGCACACCACCCAACACCGGCCACGGCCACCGGCCACGGCCACGGCCATGCGCAAAAAAGCTTTCCCCATCTGGCCACGCTGACTGGCCTGAGCTCTGTGGCCGAATGGGTTCGCGTAGGGGCCCGACTCATACCGTTGATAGATGAGGCGCCCGATAATGTGCCTGTGACACGCATTGCAATTTTTTCATGAACGTGCTCAACAGCTAGAGAGGAGTGTGGCCGAACAAATTCTTGGGGGGAAGGCCAAGAAATCGTTTTTGACTAACATTGGTCCAAACGAATCGTTTTGAATCTGTTTGGGGTCTATGCTGGGATAATTCTCCATGCTGCGGCAAAACTGTCCCGCGGACTTGTTCAGTTCAGGGATCTTCACGGGACCAATCCTAGGCTTGGCCTGGCAGCACGGGTTGCAGCAGCGACGTCTGGCTTTCTGATTTTCTTCAACACCTCGTCAAATGTTTTTTGCTTGCACTGAGAGTGCGCAGGAGGATTTGTTTCCTTCAATATGGTTCAGGCTTTGCCTTCGATATTTTATGTGTATACAGTCTATATCCACAGTTCAAATCCAAAGTCGCCTAAAATCGGTGTCATTCCTGGCTCAACTTTCTTCAAGGGCCAGTTGTCCTCTCAATTGCTCTCCATCAGTGCTTCCTTGAATCCTTGTGTGGATTTTCTGATTTGCATGAAATTGATTCTACTGACCACTTCAGCATATGTAAAGTGGGCCCAGGCCATTCATTATTTGATCGGCGACACAATTCAGCCTTTCCTGGACTACGGCATTCCATGTTTTATCTTCGCGCGCCTGAGCTTGCTTTTGTGGAGGACGTCCCCGCAGCCAATATCAAGATACAACATGTATTTTGTGAGGTTGGGTTGTGCGCAGTTTGACCCACAGCCATGCAAACGTGGAATTGTGCCTTTCCTGGTGAGCGCACTACTCATGGGACATCAAACGCTTCTCTTGAAATGTCAGAGCCAGTGGCCTCGTTTTTACCTACCAAGGATGCTGGGTTCCCTGTGTGGCTTGCTCGCAGGAAATACGTCTAGACCTCAATGGTTCACTTGCGCATATCATTACCTTGAAGAACTGTATCATATGTACTGTAGCATACTCTCATGCCCTAGGCATTACGTGCGGACCCACAGCTACATCATTATTTTCTTGGTGGCTTTTGCGCAGTGGCCCCAGGAATGTAAGAAGTGGTGTGTGCATGGTGATTTCGTTGGCGCTGCGTCCGTTGAGGTTGTTTGCCTCCGCCATCCTCCTGATGCTCCGCGGATTCGCCGAGGTCGATTGGGCCTTTGGAGGTGCTTCTGGGTCAACCCCGGTGACGGAAGAGAAAGAGAGGAGGTTCAAATACAGTACCTAAGCAACGTTCTAGAAGTCAGTGGAGAACCCAAACACACATCAATCAAAGACAAACTGAAACTAATTGACATCATTGCAGTTTCATGTGACATCTCTGTGTGCATTTTGTCAATTGATCGCTGTGACCTCCCTGTGACCAGCTTTCAGCCGTAGTTGCCTCAGGTTTCTGCTGAGGAGGCTTGTCTCCACTTCTCGGTTTCAGATGACTTATTGATGCATCCAAGCTGGATTAGATAGCATCAGTGCTGGTGGCTGAATGCCTCATTGGCCAGTGGCCATCTCCACAGTGGGGAGGGTGTTTATGTCTGGTGGGTGATATTCAGAATTGACATTGTCTGGTTGGCATTGGCATTTGGTGCTTTGAACGAGCTGATGAACAGAGAAACTACTTTTCACAGTTCCAATATCGATATCGCCGATAGCTGAGTTCCTATGAGTTCCTGAGTCCCACCCACCATGACTCGGTACCAGTGCTGCCGTTTTCGAAAAGGGTCACGCCGAGGCGCTAGGGTGCGGACTGCTTGTTTTTATCACCGGCTGCAACAAACAATATTCAATAGGCCATAGTCTACATTACGAAAGCCAGCCGATAGGCTAGGCTTGAGCTTGTACACCGAACGAAGTGAGTAAAGGGGGTGTGGGGGGGTATGCGAAAAGGCGCCATTTGAGAGGGTGAGCCCGGAGCTTGCCTGGGGAGAGCCTCCAAAGCGAGGGTCAGAAAGCAGTGAAAACTGGGTCTGGTGATGCGAGTGATGCAATGGACGCCGAGTAGTGCATCATTAGCATCGCGAAGGGCTGTGGAGGCTATTTGGACAATGGAGTGGAGACAGGCGCTCAATGTACAGAGCAACCATCCTAGTCTCTACTATGCTTGTACCGTTTCCTCGGCCGAGCGGATGCTTCTCGCGGCGTCCACGTGCACCGAACGTTGTTCCGGCTTGGCCGCGCAGCTAGATAGATACAGAATAGATAGATAGATGAAAAATCATAGATAGATAGATAGATAGAGCTGGTTTGATAGATAGATAGTGGAAGAAGCAGGGCAGTCTTGGCCGCAACCGTGTCCCAGAGTGGCTGGCGCAGGAGTTTATCCACCAACCCTGGAAGTCCCATACTGACGTGTAAAACGCTTGGTTCAATAATGGCTGTGTGCAGTAACGGCTGTGCGGCTATGTTCACAGTGGTGGCTCGACTTTTCGGGTCAATACAGTCAATGCACGGTTTGGCCATTGGCTGTTGTGGAACCATGTAGCCGTTTCGAGCTTCGGAATCCTCGTTGCGTGCACTTGCGTAGGCAGCAAGATGGTTCTGGGAACTCCCTGGGAACGGTGAGACACGTCAGCGTGCGCGCAAAGGTATGAGGCTAGTTGGGTACGAACCTA